ATATTATAGAATTGTAGCAGACTATTTAGACTTAGTATTTTTAAATACGTAAATAGGATTTTGTATTCGTTTTTTGAGAGGTAGTTAGTATTGAAATCACTTATAATTATACATTGCCAGTTTCTTGTTTTTGTTTCTGTTATCTATAAGTTAATAACTCTTTGTGTACTGAATACTAACTCCAGATAGTTTGTTGGAATGTAAATTGAAAAAAATCTTATTTTGTTGTTTCCAGGAAACTAGAGGTCAACAAATATTGCTATACTAGGAAAATTTCTAATATTGTTTATATATGAGCTAATTGATATGTATATTGCAAGAGCAGTTTCCAGAGAGGCTTCATGCTGTGTATAGTTTTTCAATATAAAATTAGATAAGAAGATTTTGTATAGTAGGTTAGTTAATGTTGTTAAACCTTCTATTTTAAGTTTAGTTTCTGTCATTAAAACTATATAGAATTGTTTTTTTCACAATATATTAGCTAGTTATATAGTTTTAGTCTATTGTTTAATCCTTGTATATTGTATGTTGCAAAGTTAATTTTTTCAGGAGTATTTTTCTTAATTATTTTTGTTATTTTCTATACTGATTTCCATTGATATATCAGTTTGGATATGTTGTAAGTTGTTGTTGTCAAAGATCTCTCAACTAGGTTCTGGGAGATCTAGTAGATTAAAGATGAATAAAAGAAATGTTTGAAAAGTAAAATATATTTGTAAAAGTTCTGTAACCTTGAGTACCTCTTCATGTTTTGTAATTGGAAAGTTGAGGTGCACCAGTTTTTCTATTTGTTTAGCAGCTATTATGAATTGCTCTAGTATATTAGGCATTCTTTGGAGACCTTCAACAAGATTATTGTTAGTATTTTCAATTTGAATCCAATTTTCTAGGATCTTTTTGAAGTAGTAGTGTTTTCTAAGATCTTTAACTGCAATGCTAAGTTGCTTAGGTGTAGTGATAGGGATAGTTAAATTAACACTATCAACCTATGAATACTCTTCTAGCAAATCTAGTAGGTCAGTAGGGTTTACAGTCATATAGCTAAATGGAAATGATACAGGTATCTGATATGTTAGAGAATTTCATCAATGAATATTCAGGCAGTTGCTTTATCTTCTATTGGAAATATATATTTGTTTTCTAATAGTAATTTGTTTGGATTATTTGGTAAATGATATCTTTGTATAATATAATCATTTGGTAATCTTGCAAAAGTATAGCTTTCTTTTAGGAGATACACATGCTCTTTGAAGTCTTCGTCATTTTTTGAGAGGAATGGAAATATTTCTCTCAGACATAGTGTTAGCTCTTGTGAAGTACAAGGAAGCTTTTGTTTTGGAGATGAAAGGTCAAAATATATGTCTAAAATATGATATATGATATATATTTTTTGTAATTTCTCTTTATATTTTGAAAGAGATTTTAGTTCTGAATAGGAAGTTATTGGAAAGAAGTCTCTCAAAGATTCATCAAGTGAGAATAGTGAGTCTGGAAGTAGTAGATGCTTATCATCAAAATAATCTTCTGGTATACAAGTAAAGGTATAAGCTAATCTTAATACTTTTGCAATTGTGCTTACTTGTTTTTTATCCTTGCTAAAATGCGTAAAAGGAATAGCTTCACAAATTTCACTATTTATAAGATTTGAAGCAGATAGCAGTGGCAAAAGGAGGTGTTCTTTCTCAACCTTAATTATGCTTAGTATATTTTCAAATTTTAGTTCTGTTTGAATTTTTGCAAAGTTAATGAAGTAGAGGATGTATTGTGTTGCTTCATATATATCTGATCGAATCAAATCTAAGTTTAAGAGAGCATCTAAAGAGAGCTTTGTTCGAAGCTTCATAAAGATTTGGTTACAATTTTTTTTGTTTGTAATACAAATATTATGCTATTTCTTATATGACTCTAAGGCATTGTACATGAGTGATTCAAACTCTAGTTGGTGTGCTAGGCGAGTTGCAGCAGTTTGTATAAAGGAGTGAAAGAAAGCTATATCTTGGTATTTAAATTTCTTTTTAATTGCATATAGGATATTAATATTTGTTGATAGAATACTTAGCTTGTATTTAATCAGTTCTTTTAAAAAGTCTAGTATTGCGAGAGAACTAACAATTTTGTCTAGTAGCTATATTTGTAAATTGTATATATTAAGTTGTTTTTTTCTAATATCAGATAGGCTCTCTCTGAATTGTTGTACCTATATATTTCCAATATCAGTTCTATCATAAGTTGTTGTCTGTTTTTGCAGACTATGAGAAGTGACTTGGCTATACAAAAGACGAGAATTTTTAATATCTTCAATTGTATTGACAGAACTAGTTTCTGATATATAATTATTCTGTTCATTGAGTGAAGATCTACTTCCTATTTTAGTTAGTTGAGTTACTTGATTCTTGCTGATATGTCAGTCAACTCTGCATTAGGTGTAAGAAAATTGATACTAGTTTTTTTTCTTTTTTTAGTTGTTGTTTAATACAACTGATCCCAATTTGTATTTGTTATATTTTGGCTTGCAGGTAGTATAGTAGTATCAGAATTTTCAGAGAGGAAGGTATCGCCACTTTGTTGCATTAAAATATTGTTTTTGACTTGTATTTCAGTTTGTATACTATCAGCACTATCTAATGAGATAGAATTCTTTCTTCATTTCTTACTAGTTTGTGTTTGACATTAGGACATGTTTGATGAGCTAGTAGTTTTGTGAGTAGGGTAGACTAGCTTTTTGTTATTTTGTTTTGTTGCTGAACTAGTCAGCAACAAGTCTTTAGCAAGTTCTAGCAGAGCAGAGACATTGTTATACGTTTTCTTAATATTGCCTAGTTGTAGTTATAATAGAGCTCATTTTTGTATAGAATAATAGTTACTTATTTATTATCTACTTGTTGTATATTCGTTCAATATTTTGTTGTTTATTTATTTTTATATATAAACTCAGGGGTGCAGGAAAGAGTTTTTCATTATATTCTTAATTCTTTCAAATTTGTATAAAGTAGTTTGATGAGTTTTAAAGTTTCTAATTGTTGTTTGTTCTAGTACTCTTGTTGATGCTTCCATTATTACAAGTAAAAATATATCTAACTCAGTTTTTGAATAATTTTGAATTTGTCTATATTTTATTAATCCATAATCATGATTAACTTTAGTAATTAAACAATTGCTAATAGTACAATATTGAATTGTAGAAAGCTGATAATGATATGTTTTTTCATCTTGAAAATCTAGTTTTTTTTTTAATTAATTTAGTAGAATGTAATATACTATCTATCTTATCTTTAAAAGATTGTTTTATATAAATTTTATGATATATATTAATTTGTGTTTAAGATAGTATTGAATTAGTATCAAAAATCAAATCATCTTTATTACTAATATTTGACAAATTTGATAAGTTGTTTTTAGATTTACTATTATTATCACTATCATTATTCTCAAAATTATCTTGAGATTTATATGTTTTTAAAAGATAATTGAAATCAGAATTTAAAGAAACTAACTCATTATGAGTTTCCTCAAATATATTTAAAAATAATGAATGATTTTTTAAACTCATTAAAAAAAAATATTTTATAAAATATTAATTAATAAACTAATAGTTCTAGATTGAAGAACTATTTTTAAAATATGCTAGATAAATATTATGTAAAATGTAATAATAATTAATTAATAATAGGTTTATTAATAAATAAGATATAAATATACAAGAAGTGATAGTATTAATATAAAAAAAGACACTTTAGTATGATAATAAATAGAATTAAGACAAGTTTAAGAGACAAAAGTCAATAAAGTATAATGTAAATTGATTAAATATATTAGCAATTTATAATAAATAATAAATATACAAATCATTCAAAATTTGTAACTCTTTCTGACAATCATCAAAACCAAAACAACAAGACAACAAAATTTTTTTCTTGCACTACTACCTAGTAAAACTACTTAAAGTGACTGACTACACGAGAAATAAACTACGAGGCTACAATAAGCTAATAGCAAGAACTACAACAAGTCAGTTTCAAGGTTATACTAGGCCCTTTGGCTGTCTGACTTTAGCAGGGTGACTTTAAGTTAGTTTAGTAAAAAGGTATTAATGGTGAAAAGAAGAAGTATAAGAAGGACTCTAACTATGCTTGTGCTAGGTCAAGCATATAACTACTCTCTTAGTTTTGTTTTTTTGAAGAACCGCTTTCTTTATTTACAACAACTAGACTTTTGGACTTAGAATTATTTCCCTTTGTTTCTTGATAGCAAAAAGTAGGAATTTGGCTTACTCCTGCTAAAAAATCTACATTTGTACTATATCTATTTTGGAAAAGTCATGTTGTATACTACTAAACAATAATAACTTGCAAATATATATAGCTATATGCTACAAGTTAGGGAATGGGCAGAAATCAAATGATTTCGATTTATTATAGTGACCTATCCCCTCTCCCCTACCTGACTAGTTATACAAGCTTATCAAATCAAATCACTTCTATTAAGACCTGACTAAACTGCTAT